TTCTTCTCAAAGCGAGAACAAACTATCCTAGAATTTGTATGGAACCACAAAAGACCCCAAATAGCTAAAGTAATCTTGAAGAAGAAAACCAAAATGGGAGGCACCACAATCCCAAACTTTAGCCTCTACTACAAAGCTGTAATCATCAAGACAGTATGGTATTGCCACAAAAACAGACATATAGAGCAATGGAGTAGAATAGAGAACCCAGAATTGGACCCACAAATGTATGGCCAACTAATCTTTGACAAAGCGGGAAAAAGTATCCAGTTGAAAAATACAGCCTCTTTAACACATGGTGCTGGGAGAGCTGGACAGTTACATGCAGAAGAATGAAACTAGATTATTTTCTCACACCATACACAAAAATAAAATGGATAAAGGACCTGAATGTGAGACAGGAAACCATCAAAACCCTAGAGGAGCAAGCAGGAAACAACCTCCTTGGCCTCCACCGCAGCAGCTTCTTCCTTGATACATCCCCAAAGGCAAGGGAATCAAGAGCAAAAATTTACTATTGGGACCTCATCAAGATAAAAAGCTTCTTCATGGCAAAGGAATCAATCCATAAAACTAATAGGCAACTGATGGAATGGGAAAAGATAGTGCAAATGACATATAGGATAAAGGGTTAGTATCTAAAATCTATAAGGAACTCACCAAACTCCACACCTGAAAAACTAATAATCCAGTGAATAAATGAGCAGAACACATGAACAGAGATTTCTCCAAAGAGGACATCCAGATGGCCAACAGACACATGAAACGATGCTCAGTGTCCCTCATCATCAGGGAAATGCAGATTAAAACCACACTGAGATACCACCTCACAGCCAGTCAGAGAGGGAAAAATGAACAAATCAGGAGACTATACATGCTGGCGAGGATGTGGAGACACGGGCACCCTCCTCCACTGTTGGTGGGAATGTAACCTGGTGCAGCCCCTCTGGAAAACAGTTAACAATAGAACTCAAAATGTTAACAATAGAACTCCCCTATGACCCAGAAATAGCACTGCCAGGAATTTACCCAAGGGATACAGGAGTGCTGATGCATAGGGGCACATGTACCCCAATGTTCATAGCAGCACTCTCAACAATAGCCAAATCACGGAAAGAGCCTAAGTGTCCATCAACTGACGAATGGATCAAGAAGATGTGGTTTATCTATACCATGGAATACTACATGGCAATGAGAAAGAATGAAATCTGGCCATGTGTAGCAACGTGGATGGACCTTGAGGGTGTTATGCTGAGGGAAATAAGTCAGGCAGAGAAGGACAGATACCATATGTTTTCATGTGTGGGTGGATTAGGAGAAACTTAACAGAGGACCAAGGGGGAGAAGGGGAAAAATAGTTGGGAAGAGGGAGGGAGGCAGACCATGAGACTCTTGAATACTGAGAACAAATTGAGGGCTGATGGGGGAGGGGGAGAGAGGAAGGGGCAATGGGCATGGAGGAGGGCAGTTGTGGGGATGAGCGCTAGGTGTTATATGGAAACCAAGTTGACAATAAACTAAGAAAGATAAATAAATAGCCAAAAAAATCCAGCTGTTTCACTTTGAATTTTGATGGTAATGATCACATTAAATGCTCTTGAAGGGGTGCCTGGGTGGCTCAGTCGGTTAAGCGTCCGACTTCAGCTCAGGTCATGATCTCACAGTTCGTGAGTTCAATCCCCATGTTGGGCTCTGTGCTGACTGCCAGCTCAGAGCCTGGATCCTTTTTCAAATTCTGTGTCTCCCTCTCTCTCTGACCCTCCCCTGCTTACACTGTTTCTCTCTCTCTCTCTCTCAGAAATAAATAAAAAACATAAAAAAAATAAATGCTCTTGAATACAAAACAATAGTGAATGAAAAGTTAAAACAGCTTTCCAAATAAAGCAAGCTTGCCTATTTGCACATAAATAATTCTGAATAACAGTTTCTGATTTTACACATCCTGGAAGGCAACACTCTGGACAAATTCAAAGGTGAAACTTCAGGGTTGTGTTTGGGAACAAACAGGAGTTTGCTGTGGTGGGAGCACTACTGTGATACATAGACAGTGGAGATGACAGAGGTGGGGCTGGGCACCGTGAAGGCCTGCACTGGAGACTGTGGTTGATGCAATGTCTATGATGAGGCCCTGAAGGGTACTGTATATTAGAAGGATGAATCTTGCAAGGATCGTTGGGGGAAAGAATTTAAGAGGTTGGTTGTTGTGGGACAGGCACTAAGAATCTGAGGCACTAGGAGTATTAGGAGCTCATACTTAATCCTGTAGGTATTAGGTCACAGTAAAGGTTGAAGAGGGACATGAATAGATAGATAGAATTTAAATACATACGGACTGGTAGCCTGTATAGTGTGATCTGAATAAAGGAAGTAGGAATAGAGTGAGGGTGGCTGATAGAGAGGCTCTTGCAGTCACACAAGGAAGAAAAGTTATGAAGTCATGACCAAGATAAGGCCTTGGGAATAGGAAAGGGAAATTTTTGAGAGGTTTATTAAGTTGATGTATTTCGAGCACTTGCTCATGTCTTGGGATAACATTGGATAACCAGCTGGGGATGGCAGGAAGCTCATGCCCACGTCTGAGGGATGGGACAGGTAATAATGTCACTCATAAGAGTAGGAGATGGAGAACTCATTTAGGTGGAACAAAGGATTCCCTTTGGGACCAATTACCTTGTGAACACCCATGACACATTTAAATGCAGATGTTTCATGAGTATTTGGCCTCTGTATCAGGAACTCAGGAGACAGGACCGGTGAATGATTCACATACAGAAATCAGTTGAATCATGCATATGCAGTAGATAAGGCAGGAGAGGGCTGAGGAACATCATGATGAGAACCCTAACACATCATAGAAGCATGGAGAGGGGTAGCCCTAGAAAATGATTTTGAAAGAGAGGTTGGTTGGGGAGTTGGCAAAACTCAGGAGAAAGTGGTGTCATAGAACCTGTGGCGGAGCTTGCATGCTTGCAAAATACCTTGTGATGTTTACGTAGTGTTAGATGTGACCATAGAAAGTAGTGCTTTTTAATTAAGTGCGGTCCAGAGCAGGTACCCTTTGAGGCGGACCACCTCCCTGTGAAGGGCTCTGCCTACATCAGAGATCAGGAGGGTGTGCTCTCCCAGCATTTGGACCTAATTCTAATAGCCCCTGATTTTCATATTGTGGTTGAGAGTTGGGACTTTTTCACTTTGAGGATAATGATTTCCTCTCTGTTTTTTCTTCTCTTTGTTTTTAGAGAAAAAAATTTTTCAGGTAGAAATACCTTTTCTGTGCAGTATTTTAACAGAAGTATCAGAGTTCCTTTAAAATTTTAGGCTAACTAGAGAAGTACAACATCTGTGGCAAATTTTAGTTTTTAATTTAATCCTGTGTTGAGTTTGTCATGCATTTGGACTGTGGATTTCTTCAGAGCAGAAGCAAGGCATATTTATGTTCATGTCCCCAGGGCCTAACTCAGAGTTTGGCCTGTGGAAGTGCTTAAGAAGTGCTTATTTTTGTTGTTGTTGTTGTTCGTGAACGCACAGCTCCATTCCTGAGAGCGTCCAAGCTGTCTTGAATCTTTTTGCCTTTCAATATCTCATGTCACTGAATTATGCCAGTTCATCTTCGGGATTTTCATAATTCTTCTTTTTTTTTTAAGCACTTAAAGTTCGGTATCCGTTCCCTCCCTCAAGTGTTCAAGCAAAATGAGAAGTTATTTTAAGGTGGTACCGATGCTGCAGCATTTGAGAATAGGAACTGAAATGGAGCCTAAGGTATTGAGGTTGAGACAGAAAACTCTCAAAATGCTCCTGCTACTCTGTCATTTCTACAAGGTCTCTTGTTTCTACTTCTCTTTGTTCTCTCTCTTTAAAATATTTATTTTGAAAAATTTAAGTCCGATGCTACCATATGGAGTAGGATATAACCAAATGCCTTAGTAACCCTTTGCCTTAACTGTCAAGAACTTTGCAATGCCAAAATTAGTCTTACTAACGTCACATCTGTTCCACTATACCGACCAATTCCTTTGTGTTTGTCAGGAGGAAGCTCAGAGTGAGTTATGCTAGACTGAGAAAGAATTAGCAATAAGGGAGTCATGGTCTTCGTGAGACTTGGAGGTGATGGTCAGAGGAGAGCCTTCCGGATCACAGCTCTAAATTCCCTGCCTGCATCAGGAATGAATTTATCGTCTTTTCCCACATGGCTTATTGTATGCTTCCAAAAAGAATAATTATGGGGCTTTCATTGATTGAAGAAAGTGTATTCTGTATTTCCATTTGGAAAATGCTGTCTTTGGATTTTAAGCTTCTAAGCAAAATATAAATTATCTTGTTGCTGTTCCCTTCTTTTCTGTGACTATTGCTAGAGGATGATCGGATTTTGCACATTACGTACCCATTCTATGTTCAACTCTTAACTTTTTCAGGGCTCTACAAATTTAGTGCTTATCATGACTGTGACAGGAGGTAGTGGTAGCAACAATGGCATTTGCTCATTGTCCCCGTATGTACAGAAGTATTTCCTGTTTGCTTGCCAGTATGATGGGATTCCTTTTTCAGAAGTTTTACCACTCATAGCTATTATAAAATGAGAAGTAAAAATAAATGTTTTTGAGTAGAGGAAAAGTTTTATAGGAAGAAGTAATAAAAGATCTGATTTCATCATCCCATTTCTATGCTCTGTATATATTGCATTTGAGCAATTTTCTCTTTTGTTTTTTTCCTCTGTGCTATTTATACTTCACTTATGAAGATAAATAAGATCTTTCTCAGCTAATGAAAAGTTGTCTTATTTAATAATTCAGAAATACCTTATTTCTCGGTGGGAAAAAATTTTCTCTTTATAAAAGTTTCTTTATGATTTTAGATTTTTTTTGTTGACAAAGTCAGAGCTATATCATGTGTATATTCTTAGCATATAAATGGGCGATCAAGTTCATGAAGGTAAACCATTGAATTGTTTCTGAGCCTTTTCTTTTCTGAAAGTGTCCTGTCCTTTCTTTTCTTTTCTTTAGGGAATCAGCAGTCTCTTCAGTTCTTTAAAGGTGGTGCGTCTCTTGCGACTGGGCCGTGTTGCTAGGAAATTGGACCATTACCTAGAGTATGGAGCTGCAGTCCTTGTGCTCTTGGTGTGTGTGTTTGGACTCGTCGCCCACTGGCTGGCCTGCATATGGTACAGCATCGGGGACTACGAGGTCATTGATGAAGTGACGAACACAATCCAAATAGACAGTTGGCTCTACCAGCTGGCCTTGAGCATTGGGACTCCGTATCGCTATAATACCAGTGCAGGGATATGGGAAGGAGGACCCAGCAAGGATTCTCTTTACGTGTCCTCTCTCTACTTTACCATGACAAGCCTTACAACCATAGGATTTGGAAACATAGCTCCTACCACAGATGTGGAGAAGATGTTTTCGGTGGCCATGATGATGGTTGGCTGTAAGTATCTTGTTTTTCTTTTTAAATGACGAAAAAAATTGTTGTTGTTGGTTTTCCAGGCCCCGGTCTCTAGCAGGATTAAAATGAAACTACTTTGTCTTCAGAAAGGTGTTTAATCCATAATATTTGCATTGCTTTAATTTTTATCCAGCCTTAAAAAATAAACATGCAAACTAATACATTTTACTTTTCAGGATGTATGAACACATGAAAAACAGTGTGGTTAGAGTGGTATGAAAATCAGAATGGGAAGTCTTTGATTTAATTCTATTCACAGTCTTCTAACGGGCAGAGTTCTTTCCAAGAGAGACCAGCATCTAGAAAAGCAGTGTCTGGCACATCGCATAGGTTTTGTTGGCAGTGTATTAAATTCCAAAAAAGCAGCCAGGATATGATGGGTGATACATAGTTTAGAAAATAGTTAGTAATTGAATTCTTGACTAATGTTGATTTCAGGATAGTTTTCTGTAGGTTTTTACAGTAAGAATAATAAGAAAAGTTTTCCAAATCTTGTCTCCATTGCAAACACTCTAGGTTAATAAAAACTCTAGGTTTAATATATGCTCCTTTGAGAAAATGGAAAGATTAGTAAATACAAGCTCATTTGGCAGTGACAAGAATATCTGGGAGTTAGTAGGCATCCTTAGTACTAAATGCCTGGATAGTGTTCCTGGGACTAGAATGTTCTCTAAAGGAGTTGTAAGACCATGGTTCTATACTCAGACTGAGATTGGATTGTGTCAGAAGATCAGAATATTAAGGAAATAGATCTCAAGGAAGGTCTTTTAAAAGAAGATTATGGGGGACACTTCACCATCATCTAAACCTTCAAATTGACTTAGATGATTTATCCAAACCTAATTCTGACCCCCAGAGTAACCTCAAGATCATCATACTGGAGATATGGTTAGTGTCATTAATACCTCTTAAACCTTTAGGTCATGGTCATTGGTTTGTGGTATAAGACATCCTTTCTGAGATTCCACATTGTGTAGGTTTATGTTTTTTTTAAGTTTGTTTATTTTGAGAGAGAGAGAAAAAAAAGCATGAGTGGAGCAGGGGCAGAGGCAGAGAGAGCGGCAGAGAGAATCACAAGCAGGCTCTGCACTAATAGTGCAGAGCCCAACGCGAGGCTTGAGCTCATGACCTGAAAGATGGAGTCAGCTGCTTAACGGACTGAGCCACCCAGGTAGCCCTATATTTTGACAATGATGGGAAAGATGTTAAGAATATCAAGGAATATCAGGAATATCAAGAGGCCTATGAAAGGTCAATGTCTTCGGTCAAAGTAAAGTAGTTTTCACATTTTCAGAGCTGATAATATTTGACAGCTATTTGAGCACCAATGTTGGCAGTTTAGCTTCCATCTCTGTGCTCCTCTGTGCAAGCACAAAAACAAGAAGGCACAGGTTATACTCACTGTTTAGAGTTAAAGAGGTAGACTGAGAATGACAAGTGCTGTATGCTTCAGAGGTTTGTGGGAGGAAATATGTTCCTTCATGCAAAAAGATCCTGATGATTAAACTGTTGTCCGTATACCCAATGTGGTAAGATGTATCGGTGATTTATAAATTCAGAAGACAGCATTTTGTCAGATGTGGTATTTATTGCTCTACTGCTTTTAGTATTATATAGTGCATTTTACCTTACACTTGACCATCGTCAGATTAACAAAGTTATCTTGAAGCAATTATTGATTCACTGGAAGTTGCAAAGATAGGACAGAGAAGACCTTTGTGCCTTTTGCCTAGTTTCCTCCAATAATGACATCCTGTAGAATCCAGCACAAGATAAACATTGGCACTGGTACAACATGTGTATATATATAGTTCTGTGTTGTTGTTGTTGTCGTTTATCATGTGAAGATTCCTGTAACTACCATTGAAATCAATATACAGAATTGTTCCATCACCACAGAAACCTTTCTCATGTTACCCCTTTATAGTTCTACCCACCCCTTCCCCTACAGCATCCCTAGCCCCTGGCAACTACTGATTTGCTCTTCACCTATGTAATGTGATTTTGAGAATGTTATGTAAATGGAATCATGAAAAATGTGACCTTTTGACATCGGCTTTTTCCAGTCAACATAACCCCTTGAAATCCATCAAAACTTTACTTGGTTCACTTGGTCCCGTTCTTTCTCTACTTCATGTGTGGCCAATATATTGCTATATCTAAATGCCTTTCTCTTTCTTTACTTTTTCTTTAGTTCTTGACTTGATATCAAGATGAAGACCTAGTCTCAAACTTGGTCCTTTTCTTTTCTGAATTTCTGCTATTTCCTTTTAACAGTTGAGCAGTAGCTTTCTCTTTATAAACTAGCTTCTGATATATATATATTTTTTTTTTTTTTGCCTGTTGACTTTAGGGTTTTTTTTTTTTTTTAATAGTTTATTGTCAAATTAGTTTCTACATAACACTCAGTGCTCATCCCCAAAGTGCCCTCCTTCATGCCCATCCCCCCCTCCCCCCCACATCCATCAGTCCTCAGTTTTTGTCAGCATTCAAGAGTCTCTCATGGTTTGCCTCTCTCCCTTTCCCCCACCATTTCCGCCCTTCTTCTCCCCCTTGGTCCTCCGTCAAGTTCCTCCTAATCCTCCTATACGTGCACACATATGATATTTGTCCTTCTCTGCCTGACTTATTTCCCTCAGCATAACACCCTCAAGGTCCATCCATGTTGCTACACATGGCCAGATTTCATTGTTTCTCATTGCCATGTAGTATTCCATGGTATAGATAAACCACATCTTCTTGATCCATTCATCTGCTGATGGACACTTAGGCTCTTTCCATGTTTTAGCTATTGTGGAGAGTGCTGCTATGAACATTGGGGTACATGTGCTCCTATGCCTCAGCATTTCTGTATCCCTTGGGTAAATTCCTAGCAGTGCTATTGCTGGGTCATAGGGGAGTTCTATTGTTAGTTTCCTGAGGAACCTCCACACTGTTTTCCAGAGGGGCTGTACCAGTTTACATTCCCACCAACAGTGCAGGAGGGTGCCCGTTTCTCCACATCCTCGCCAGCATCTAGAGTTCTCTGATTTGCTCATTTTAGCCACTCTGACTGGCGTGAGGTGGTATCTCAGTGTGGTTTTGATTTGTATTTCCCTGATGAGGAGGGATGCTGAGCATCGTTTCATGTGTCTGTTGGCCATCTGGATGTCCTCTTTGGAGAAGTGCCTGTTCATGTCTTCTGCCCATTTCTTCACTGGGTTGTTTGTTTTTCGGGCGTGGAGTTTGGTGAGTTCCTTATAGATTCTGGATATTAACCCTTTATCTGATATGTCATTTGCAACTATCTTTTCCCATTCCGTTGGTTGCCTATTAATTTTCTGGGTTGTTTCCTTTGCTGTGCAGAAGCTTTTAATCTTGATGAGGTCCCAACAGTTTATTTTTGCTCTCGATTCCCTTGCTTTTGGGGATGTGTCAAGTAAGAAGTTGCTGCGGTGGAGGTCAAGGAGGTTGTTTCCTGCTTTCTCCTCTAGGGTGTTGATAGTTTCCTGTCTCACGTTCAGATCCTTTATCCATTTTGAGTTGATTTTTGTGCATGGTGTGAGAAAATGATCTAGTTTCATTCTTCTGCATGTTGCTGTCCAGTTCTCCCAACACCATCTGTTAAAAAGGTTGTCTTTTTTCCATTGGATATTCTTTCCTGCTTTGTCAAAGATCAGTTGGCTGTATACTTTTGGGTCCACTTCTGAGTTCTCAATTCTGTTCCATTGGTCTATGTGTCTGTTTTTGTGCCAATACCATACTGTCTTGAGGATGACAGCTTTGTAGTAGAGGCTGAAGTCTGGGATGGTGATACCTCCCGTTTTGGTTTTATTTTTCAGTATTACTTTGGCTATTCGGGGTCTTTTGTGGTTCCATACAAATTTTTGGATAGTTTGTTCTAGTTTTGAGAAGTATGCTGGTGCAATTTTGATTGGAATTGCATTGAATGTGTAGAGTGCTTTAGAAGGTATCTCCCTGGAACAATGTTGGCAATAGAAACTGGACTTGAGGCATTAAAAAAAAAACCCTATGTCTAAAGCACTCTACACATAGGGTTTTTTTTTTAATGCCTCAAGTCCAGTTTCTATTGCCAACATTGTTCCAGGGAGATACCTTTTAATTTCCTTCTTAGTCCTTGGGTCCTTAGTAATTTAATGGTATGTTTCCTTTGCAACAACCCAAGAGGTTGATAGAAAACTGTCAAGACCCATGAAGTGTAACAGTAACTTCTCACAATTCCAAAATTTATTAGACACAGAAGCTCAAAATATCAATCAAATGTGCCTATTGAAGCTATTTGTAAACTTAGTATCACTTTTTTTCCCCCTACAATAACACCAAGGAAAACAAAACAAGCTACTACTGTTCCCAGAATGTGTTGTCAGCCATAGATATAGCGGGGGATTTAGTCTCTCTCTGTCTGCCTCTCTGTCTGTGTGTGTGTGTGTGTGTGTGTGTGTGTGTGAGAGAGAGAGAGAGAGAGAGAGAGAGAGAGAGAGATAGGGAAGGAGAGTGAGGGAAGTGGGAGGTAGAAAACAGAAAGGTTCATGCTTTTAGTTGTGTTAAGATTCTAGTCCATCCATGCTGGCTGTTTGAGAAATACCACTTACAACCTTAAAACACAGTAACTGAGAAAAGTGTTTTATCAGAGGGTTGATGGAGATGCCAATTGCCTATATGCTGTCGAGAAAAAAGCCTATATTCTGTGGAAAAAATAATCACTACTTGTAAATCATAGCTTCTTTTTCTGGAGAAAATCATCTGAAATTTTCATGCCTTTTAGCAAAATTGAGAAATTTTAGTGGCAAAAATTACACTTCCTAGGTCCTTTCTGAGCCCTCTTCTTCTCTTCTTTCTTTCTTTAATGGGCTTTCCTCTCTGACCTCTAGGTCCTCTCCACCACCCCCTCCACCCCCCACGACGCTGAATTGCATGTGGACTCCATCCCAGAACACAGTCTCAAGGTTCTCCTTGTTTTTGTCAGACAAATCTTTAGACAA